GGGTTTAGAAGGATTAAAGGATAATGTTGGAATTCATTATAAGATGCCCGAAAATAGATACACTATCTAAAATAACTCTTATTAGAGGATAACGATGCTATTCAGCTGGTGTCTCTAAGTACGGTTGAGGTGTAGACACGTACTAGGTACTGGTATTGCTCTGGTAGCTCTCGGAGATGGTTCTAATGCCGGAGTCAATATATGAAAAGTCAAAACCTATGCCAAAAGTTAGGCCGGAGCCTTGCTCTATACTTTCACCTCCTTTGCTGCTTTTGCCCTATACCTCCCTTGCATATATCCATTTTTTAATTAGTAGTGTCCGGGATATCGTCCGTAATTAATTTAGAGACCGTGAAAAGATCCACATTTTCGACTAGACTTTGGAAAATCCCGCCCAGATCCAATTGAAAAACTTCAAAATCCCAAGGAAACTCATTTTCAGGGAATAATCACCTACACAAAAGTAATCGGAGTATTTTCAAACAACAATGGAATCGCTGCATTAACATCCTTCTTTTTCATGGGGATTTCATTAATTTTGAATATTTACACCCTAATTCTATTCAAACGAAAAAATAATATTGTAATTCAAAAAAACAACAAAAAATACTCCGAAAATAAAATTAAAATGGAGCGACGCCTAACTGTATATGTGTTGGTCACATTTTTGGGGCAATTGATAGTCTCCCTATTTATGGTCACTTGGTTTACTGCTTCAGCAGCTTTGAAACCCTTTGTAGATAAGGACACTTACAATCTGATAAACTTTGCCGTGCAAAATCAGAGTGAGTTTAGTGTGATTATTTGGTTATGTAAGCAAGAGAGATCAGTCAATCATAACTTTGCAGAGGGGTTCGTAAGTAAGGAGGATTTCTGGGGATTCTTATTATTAGGTACATTTTCCAGCTCCAATTCCGTCTTCACCTACTTTCATCTTGGGATATGAGTCATTATAACTGGAGATGGTCAAGTAAGGAGAATAGGAGATTAAAGAGGACTTCATAGGATCGAAGAGGATATCGGGGGATCAAAGAGGACTGAGGAGGATATCAGGAGATTAAGGAGGACTTCATAGGATTAAGGAGGATATCGGGGGATTGAAGAGGATGTCAGGGGGATTATTATATCAGGGAATCTGGTCCAGTGGCATAAAGGACCATAACAGCATTAATTCTGATTTTCTTACTTTTCAAGATTTAATATAACTAAAATTACAGGCCCATGGGTAAACGACATTTCTACGATTGCATTGCCTGCCTGGCTAATGCTTTGGGCTAATGAGCGATTGCATCAATCTATTTCTTCTAGCCTCAACAAAGCTGAAGAGAATATTCTTTTCAAATTTGGGAAAAAGCCAATAGCTGTGGGTGATTCAAGCCAACAAAACAAATTATTTGTCCAAAAGCCAGATGGAGCTAGAAGATTCATCAAAAGCGTTTCGTTTCCTGAATCTACTGAACAGAATAGGCCCCATAATCAGAATCTATTTTGAACATACTTGTCCAAATTTAATAAGGCCATCCACTCAGCCTCTTGTAAATTTTAATATTGAGTGTATCCTTCAAAGATATTTCAAAGATGCCCAATACATGCCCAAATTTAATAAGGAAGTCTCCTCAGCCCCCTTGTAAATTAATATTGGGTGTATCTTATAATAAAGTTAGGCGATTACTAAAATTGGTGATGTGCATTATTTTAAGGAAAATAATGGCTAAGGGAGCGCCTAAGTTATATCACAAGGGGTGCTCCGAAAGTGGCACAGGGTTACTCCGAAAGTGGAACTCCGAAAGTGGCACAACCCCTATATGAGTGGCACATACCTATATATACCTTATTATGAGAGATAATTTTTAGCCCCAAGAGGGTATCTCATTTTAAGGTCCAACTTTATATTTTTTTTATTTAATGATTTTTTCTATTTACTGTTATTTAAAAATTTATTTTACACAAATTTTTACTAAAATAAATTAAAAAATATTTTTGTTAAATTTATTTTCTTAAAAATTTTATTGTGACTCTTTTGCCGTTCTACTCGTTCTAGTATTACCAGTTTGTTGCGGTATAGCCATAGATTGTCGTTTTTCATCTAGCAATGATCTGGCACTAACCTCAGGGTTACGATAACGATCATTTATTAGAACGTAAATTCTAAATTGAAAATTTTAAAAAATATTGGGAGAAGTTGGTTGTGGTATGTAAATATGTCAAATAACACTTATGAACCGGCAAGTGAGAGATGCCGGTAAGGCGTTATTGGGGATGAACCTGACGCATTTTAAAATGCATAAAAACGGAGGAGGAAGGGCCAAAGGAGGCGGAAGCGGAGGCAGTCTATCCCTGCCTGTGGGTTTGGGTTTTCGAGTAGGGCCGACGTTCGAGTCATATTCGACCGGCATTACCGAGCCTTTCGGGCCGAAATTCAATGCCTGACTCGATCTTTTAGACCGGACCCCAACCCTACTTGGCTGGTATGTCGAAAATTAAAAGAGTCTTAAAACGGAAATGGTACTGAACCTCAAGAACATTGAAAATAGGATAGTGTGATTGCTAGCCCTCCTTCCATATAAAATTTAACTTTAATAAGCACCTGTAAATCTCCAAAAGAATAATCAAAATATTTTTTGAAATAAACAAAATTAAAGCAAAATCAGCTTCCCAAAGCCAGCCCAAAACAATCAGACGAACAATTAAAAAGGGTAAATCCTGGCATGCCAAGGATATTAGAAGCGACCAAATGTCCAAGTCGAAAAATGCCTTTAGGGGAACAAAAATTAAAATTTTTTCGAGAATTTTTGAGAAATTTTATTGAAAATCTTCTCAAGAGTTCAAAAATTTTATTCGAAAAATTTTTGAAATTTTTCACCTAAAAATTTTCCAAATTTTTTTTTTCAAACCTCCCACCTGTCTAAAATCATGCCTATTTGTACTTAACAAAATTTTAGTAGCCACAGCAATTCTCATTTTACGAGAACGACTGGCTGTCAATATGAAAGCAAATTGGATTAGTGAAAGCGCAAAAGCACTGAGTATTGACATTTTGAGTGAAGAGTCTGCACAAACTGTAGACCTATTTAATAGACCGGCAAATTCGAGAATATCAGTTGTTATGGCCTTTAAGAAATTTTTATTCAGAAAAATTTTTTAGCTCCCACCACTGACCCTAAAACTCCCCAGTCCGATTCCTGACAGTTCTTTACCCCAATATCCCTGTTCCTCAAAAATATTCTTCCGACGTCGAAGACCAACTCTTTCAGGTCAAAGGAAAGAGGTCTATTTTGCTCAGCACTCCCCTCTAAATTTAAGTGACCAAGAGCTTTAGGTATATTTTTCTTGCCTCAAGTATTCCTTATACCAAGGGGTCGGAATTTAGAGGAAGGAATTCAGAGTGGTGCCCTTGCTCTATACTTCCTCTACCTTAACTTTCTTGCCCTATATCTCCCTTGCTCTATCTCCTACTTCCCCGTTGCTATCCTCACCCTCCTGCCTTTAGTTAATCGAAAAATCACCATATAAGCAAGCAATATCTGTGACAATTCTTCTCTATTTAACTCAAATCTAGGCAACATCCATCTCGCAATAATCAAAACCAAGAATAATGTGTAAGTCAATATTTGGGGCAAAATAATTCCTTCGTTTGGAAGAAAATTTGGTTGTAATCCCAAAGAAACAAGTGGAGAAGAATAATTATTTGGCAAGTTTATAGTGGAGGAATTGAGTGTATAATCACATAGAGAGCTTAGCATTATCCAAATTGGAGGGATCTGATTTTTAAAAAATTTTTTAAAGGAAATTATTAAGTTTTGCTACCGTAGCAGACAGGTAAATTGAAACAGCAAAGGAAAATCTTGAAAAAAAATCATTTTTGAGCTGAATCTCTTTCTAATGAATCCCTATATAGGAGACTCTAACGAAAAAAACCTACAATCTTGGCTCATCTCCAGCCCTAACAATCACTGCATAAAAGCCTTCACCAATTAAACAAAAAGCTATCAATGAAAAGGCCCAAATGGAATTATCTGCCCTTAATTCGGCTGCTGCCCATATACAAAATATTGAATGAGACTTAAATAATTATATTTGATTAAATATGATTTATTTTAAGTTAATCAATTACAGCTTTTTAAACGCACATGATTCTTGATTGTTTAAAAAGCTGTAAGCAGCTTTTTAAACGCACATAATTCTCGATTGTTTTGAAAAGCTGTAAACAGCTTTTTAAACGCATATAATTCTTAAGTGTTTAAAAAGCTGTAAGCAGCTTTTTAAACGCACATAATTCTCGATTGTTTAAAAAGCTGTAAACATGGTAAATCAGAATTCATGATTTTTAAATTCTGTTTAAAGTTCTGATTTCTATATTCTGATTTTTAAATTCTGATTTTTATATTCTGATTTTTAAGTTCTGATTTTTATATTCTGATTTTTAAATTCTGATTTTTAATTCTGGTTTTATGTTCTATTTTTAATTTCTCCCTTATTTTTAATTTTTCCGAACTAACCATAAGTAAGATTCTAACAGTTAGTGCTCTAAGTACATTAGATAATAGCGAAGTTGAAGAAGATTGGAACATTAGATCACTACTAAAGTTCGAAGATCTATGACCTCCCGTTGTAGAGTGCCGAACAGTTGAGGAGTTTACTGCTGCTGATGTTGAGGCTACGCTCCTGTTGAGTGGGATAAATTTAATTTTTAGGTGTTTCTCCTTATGATCTAGTTCCTTGTTATATACTAGGGATGGGTCAGGGATCGTGCACCGTATCATATATCCTTGAAAGAAAGACTTTGAGACTTTGAATGAAAATCCCTTTAGTCTCTGACCCTTCCTACGCCACTCCACTCCCTAATAAAAATTCAGTTCCCAGCCTCCCTCTAGGATCTTTCTAAATTCCCTCCCTCCTGTGGTTGTTTTTCCCGAATTCTCTCAGAGTCCCCCAGCTGGGAACAACCTCTACTTTTTCCATAATTTATTCCCCTACTTTCTCTGTTTTGGAGCGGCCGTTCCAGAAATACTTTCTTTACTTCGACTTTCCCTTCTCGGGGCCATTTGTGCATGCCCTGTAGATTTTCGTTGTTCTGCCCCACTGGAAGCCTCTCCTCCCTTCTCAAGACCAGCACCACTTCCACTTCTGCTTTCCCTCCTAGGGCCACTGCCTGTTTGCTGTTCTAATCCACTTCCAGAAAAGTAGAACCACTTAAAAATTAAGGAAAAAATACTTAGAGGAGTAGTATGAGAATGAAACTTGCCATTTTAGAATTTCCAGATTATCAAATAATTTTTATTAATAGTTAAGATTATTTAATATTATTTTAAATTAACTAAAAAATAATTGTAAAGGATTAAGGCTTACATTGGGATTAGATTTTTTTGATAAAAGTTGTTTATTGTTTGAGAGTCTCGCTTAGGAAGGCTCTCATTCTACCAACATTGTTTTGTATTGTTCTAGGAAGGATTAGTCCTTCGGGGCTGAAAACACGAGTTCACTTCAAGGTCTTTTCACCCATAAAGAAGGTTGGCATTCGGGGGTCCTGGTTAGCATGGTCGGCGTTCACCCTAATTTAACCCAAAAGTCGCACTAAAGAGAGTTGACTGTCTATAAAATAGAGGTCTATTTTCAAATAATTTTGGCAAATGAACACTTGAAAATAGGTAGCTGATATATATTTATATACCCAAATTTTTTAGACTTTTTGTATAAAATTCACAAAGGCTTTGATGGATTGAAAATTCCAAAAATTCGTGTTGTTTTTTACCATTTTTGGCATTCTGTTTATTTTTTTATGATTTTTTAAGAGCAGAGAATTTTTTATTGGGAGTATTGTTATTGTTTATCCAGTTAATTCCCTAAGGTTTAATCCATCTTTGAGGCACCATCTTATTGCTATGCCTCTTATTTATCATTTGTTTAGAAAAACGAATGCAGGAAAAAAGCCAAAAAATTAAAATGGAAAAATTAAAAATAAAAAAGGCGCAAAATTGCCGTTCAAGTTGGGTTGAATAGACGGTAAGGCGCAAAATTGCTTGGACGGGCGGCAGTATATCTTTGACTAGGAGTTGTCTAAAATTCTGAAATTTTGCATGGACGTTTCTAATAGAGCTATCTAACATCTCTAAAAGTTTTAAATTTTTTGGTTGAATATTTCAGAATTTATGGGCGAAAGTCCAGAAAATCGACCTTTCTTTTAAAAATTCTGACATTTAGGCCATATCTTCTGAAATAGTGAACCAGAAATTCTGAAATTTTGTACAGACGTCTCTAATAGTGATATCTAACAGCTCTAAAAATTTTAGAATTTTCGGTTAAATATTTCAGAAGTTATGGGCATTTAAAAATCCATGTATTTAACCGAAAATTCTGACATTTCAGCCATAATTTCTGATATAATCAACCAAATATTCTGAAATTTAGTACAGACGTTTATAAGAGTGATTTATAAGATGCCTAAAAATTTTAGAATTTTCGGTTAAATATTTCAAAAGTTATGGACAAAGACTCCTTAAGAATCGACGTTTTTCCTGAAAATTTTGACTTTTTTTTAGCCATAACTTCTGAAATAATGAACCAGAAATTCTGAAATTTTTAGTGAAGATAGCTAAAAGTATTGAAAATATCTATGCAAATTTTCACAACTTTAGGCACTCATTTGTCAATTTTATGGAAGCGCACCAGCCCTACTGCATAACGCGTCCTACCACCCCTTTAGGGCAACCAAGAAAAATTGCCCAATTTCATTTTTTTCGTTTTTCATCCTTTCCAAGCTCCCTGGGGAATGAGGCGCACTCATCCATTCCACCAAACCTTGGCAAAAAATTCCAGTATTTTTGTGGCAAAAAAGATTTTTTAGGGGAGAAGGTTGCGAGTAAAAGTGCAAGGCCAAAAAAAGTGACTGAAAAAGGGGTTAGAAAAAATAGGTGAATTAATATGTAAAAAAAAAGAAATAAAAATTTAAAATAAATTTAAATAAAGAATATTATTTTATGGAAAGAAAAAATTTTAAAATGATGTAATGTAAAAACACAATTTTACTGCCTTTCTTTTCTTTCCAAAAAAACATAAAAATAAATTATCACGTTATTTATTCCACCCACTTCCTATTAAGTAAAAATTTGGTGTTTTGGCTTTTGAAGGATTTGGCTTGTCTCCAAAATCTAGTCAGCAATAATTAGTGTTGTATTGTGTTCTATGAAAAGTTGCAAATTGTAAAATATTCGGAAAGGAAATAAGATAAAAATAAACATGATAGCCTATTATCAAGTTTGCAAGTTTGAGTATATAATTCAAGTATATTTTTAAGTTTAATAAAGTTTCAAGTTTGTAAAAAAAGGAATTGTAAAATGCTCCTCTATACAAGCATTTTTGTAATTTTTTACAAACTTGAATTTTATTAATATACAGTCGTGGAAAAAAGTATGGAAGCGCTAGAAAATTTTTTCTTAATTCTTAATTTTTCATTCAAAAAATACGTTCTATATACCAATCGAAAGCTCTATTCGTATCTCAGTTGACATGTTTCTGCATTTTTTATGAAAATGAAAATTGGCCGAGATAATCCGGATCTACCGGATATACCAAATCCCACTTTTTCGGAAAAATTTTTCGGAAAAAATTTAACAAACCCAAATGATAAAGCATATTTTTCTGAGTATTTTCCACAAAACCGCTTAGAGATATCTTATTCCGGAGCAGAGGTATGATTTTTTGAAAATCGCATTTTTCGTCTATTTTTGCAAAAAATTCAATTTTTAAGGGAAAAATGCCATTTTCAAAAAATCATATCTCTGCTCCGGAAAAAGATATCTCTAAGCGGTTTTGTGGAAAATATTCTTAAAAATATGCTTTATCAAATGGGTTTGTTAAATTTTTTCCGAAAAATTTTTCCAAAAAAGTGGGATTTGGTATATCCGGTAGATCCGGATTATCTCGGCCAATTTTCATTTTCATAAAAAATGCAGAAACATGTCAACTGAGATACGAATAGAGCTTTCGATAGGTATATAGAACGTATTTTTTGAATGAAAACTTAAAAATTAAGAAAAAATTTTCTAGCGCTTCCATACTTTTTTCCACGACTGTAGGTAGATTTAAAGTTTACAATAATTTTTTAAAATCTAATCAATTAAATTTTCAATATAAAATTTTATAAATTAAAAAATATTTACAATTTATAGTAAAATTAATTTAAAAAATTAAAATGAGGTGGAATGAATAAAAAAATTTTTATTTAAATCTTCTACATGCTCTGTTCCTTCTCAAAAAATATTTAAAAATTATTTTTTGTACTTTTGATGAAAAATAAATTTTTAATTTCCAATTCAATTTAAATGATAAATTAAAAAATTGCTGTAAAAAATATTATTATTTTCTTCTTCATTTTCTTCCTTTCTATTTTTCTTCTGACACCTTTGATTTTTTGAGTTTTTTGTTGTTTTTAAAATTAATTGTTCATCCACTGGGTAAATTATAGCCATTCTGCTGCTTTTCCTGTCCACACAATTTTTGTCAACTCCTTTTGTTGTAATTGTAAATTTTGATTTTGCGAAATGTAAAGCTTTTTGTAATTGTATTTTGAGCATTTTTGTTCTTGTTGTTGTTGTTGTTAAAACTTGAATTTTATTATTGCAAACTTGAAACAAGTTTATTTATTTTCGCAAACTTGAAGCAAGTTTATTTAGTTTATAAGCTTGTTGTTAAGTTTAAACTTGAAGTTTATTTTTGCAAACTTGAAGCAAGTTTATTTATTTTTTGCAGACTTGAAGTTAAGTTGAAAAGTTGGGGACAAGTTTATTTATTTTACAATTTGTAGTTAAGTTGCAAAATAGGCTGTTTAAGTTTATTTTAATTACAAACTTGAATACAAAATTTGTAATGTTGTAATTTCAAGTTTATTTTTTTACAAATTGTAATTTTATTTTATGTTGTTATTTTTAAGTTTGTAAATTATTTTTAAGATTGTAGTTTTATTTAAAGTTTATTTATAGAAATTAGTCGAGACTGTTCTTCTCCCCACATTCTACCTTCTTTTATAGTTAAATTCTAATAAAGGGGCGTATAGTTAAAATCACATTCCTAAGCATAAATTTAGTTCCTTCTACACACTTTTTTCACAATTTTTTAATTATCGCCTCCCTTTTTCTATTTTTATTAATTTTATTTATTTATGTCTACGGCCATAAGTTTAGGGGGAAAAAATTTTTTTCTTGATGTGTTCCACTCTTTTAGTCTTTTTCTTAATCATCCCCCTTCATTTACGCATATTCAACAAAAAATTTAAAAATGAATTGCGCAAAACGTTGAATCACATAAAGTTAAAACTTACTAAACATCTTTTCCCCTTTTCCCCTTTTTTGGGCGTTTACAAGGCTATATTGTATATTTACCTAGGAATTTGCGCAAGAGCTATATTGGGCGAACCAAAGAGGGGAATAGTTTTTGTTGGAATTTGTGTATGACGTGATCGGTGAAATAAAAAATGATGGAGGGAGATTTGTAAAAAAATTATTTTATAAGTTTGTATTTTTAATCCAGAAAAAGAAAATAAATCATAAGCTTGATTAAGAAAAGAATAGGTTAGAGCTTTATTACAGGGGAAAAACTCCAAGTTTTTAAAATAAAATTCAAGTTTCAGTAAGTATAGTTAGTAGCTAGTTAAATTTTTTTCAGAATTAAAAATTATAATCAGAATTTTAACAAAACAACTTAAAAGTACACAAAAATACAAATCAGAATTACAAAACAGAAAAGCATAAAAGTAAAGATAACTAATTATAATACAAAACCAGAAACCAGAAATTACAAATCAGAATTTCAGGAAAAATACATGAAAAACACAAATCAGAATTTAGTTAAAAGATAAACACAAACCAGAATTCTGTAAAAGCTTGCGAAAAATACAACCAGAATTTTAAAAGGAAAATCAGAAATACAAATCAGAATTTTAATAAAGTAAATACAATTACAAATCAGAATTTCCAGAAAAATACAGGAAAAATACAAACCAGAATTTCGTTAAAAATAAAACACAAAAGCAGAATTTTGTAAAACAACTAGAATTTTAAAAGGAAAATCAGAAATACAAATCAGAATTTTAATAAAGCAAATACAGTTACAAATCAGAATTTCAAGTTGAATAAAACACAAAAATCAGAATTTCAAGTAAAATATAGGAAAACACATATCAGAATTTCGTTAAAAATAAAACACAAAATCAGAATTTTGTAAAACACAACCAGAATTCTAGAAGTAAAAACAAAAATACAAATCAGAATTACAAACCAGATTAATCAGATATTAATCAGAATTTTAAATGAAAATTTTAACAAAAAATAAAAATCAGAAAAATATGAAAAAAATTTTTTCATATTTTATTAATTATTTTAAAAATATTTTTTGTTTCCAAAAATATTCTCAATTTAGAATTTTCAATTTATTTATTTTTATTCAGTAAATCTTTCAACTTTATTTAAAATGCCCCTTTTCACCCTTCAAATTAATTTTATTTTAGGGATCTTAAGGTCCTTCCTCTCTCTTAATTAAATTTATTTAATTAAAACGGGTTTTTAATAAACACAAAAAAATTTTTTTTTAATTTTCCTCGAGTTGTTGACAATTTTTGTTAATTTATTCTGCCGCATTCCAATGTGTGTTTGTTTGTGTGATTGTAGTATGTACATACCCTGTATGAATGTATATTTGAATAATTAATTAATTTTAATTAGTGGACATGTTGATATGTACACACTCTTTTTAAAAATTATTTTTAGAATTTGGTTAAATCAGAATAATATTGATAATTAAAAAATAATTTTCAAAAAATTAATTTCAAAATTAAAAAAAAATTTTAATAAAAATTTAAAAAATATACACATTTAAAGATTTAATTTTTGTAATGCAATTAAAAAATAAATCAGAAATTAATTTTAAAAATTAGTTTTAAATAAATTTAAAACATTTCAATTTAAATAAATCTTTTTAAATTTAAAACATTTAATTTTTACAAATCCCCCTTGAAATTAAATATATACACTCAGAATTTCGTTAAAAAATTTTTTAATCAGAATTATAAGCCCAAAGAAAATACAAAACAGTATGGGCGGCAGGCCGAAACTTGCGGACCGACTTTTGCGGACCGAAACTTGCAGACCCGACGAATTTCTCGAAACATAGCTCATTGAAAGAGCTCGACGAGCTGAGTCGAATGACATCAAAATCATCGTGATTGTACAAGCTTGGACAAAGTTACGATAGAAAAACAAGAACATAAACCCCTGGTCCGCAAAAGTCGGTCCGCAAGTTTCGCACTACCGTATGGGCTTTATTTGGGTGGTATAGACCGAAGTCATACAACTAGGCATAATTTTAACAAATTTATTCGACTTTAAATGACAAATTGATATTTAAAATATTCCTAAAACTACATATAGTTATAAATATTTACAGCACACTTAGTGTTAAAATAGAAATAATATTTTATTTTTTAATTAAAAGACAGAAAAGGATAAAGTCAGTCAGAAGAAATGTGATAATGTTAGGCTTTTATCCCGATCAGGATAAAAAGGAGCTTGAAGGAAGGATACGATGGGTACAGCCCAACAGCCCCCACGGCGTAAAGCCATGACTTGCTTCAAGATTTCCCAATCCTACCAAATTTAGTGTTAAACAATTCCTCTCTAGAGCTAAAGAAATTGGTGCCAAAATTGATGAGAAACAGAACTTTTCCAGCAAGTTATGGCTTGCGCCGTTATGGATACTGTATATGCTCGAATAATTACTACCTCTCTCAAATAATAACCATCTTTATTATCTCCTAAATATTATTCCTTCACTCCAGCGAGAGGTGAAACATTAATTATGCCCCATGGTAATTATTTGATAATATACGGTAATGGTCTTTTGGAAATAAATTAAAGAAAGTATAAAGAAAAAATAAAAGATAAGGTGTAGATTAACATTGAAAGAATAACTTATTAAATCAAGAAATGATGGGTGTGATAAGATAGAAATTGGTATATTTAAAAGATAGCCTTTAAATCAAGGCGATATTTCATGTAGATTATTTGTACCAAAAATCAGAATTATAACGCCTTTATTAGGCAAGTTATTCAAAAATGCCCTCAGGCTATATTTTACTTTATCACTCATAACTTTCGCTTATAAAGTCTAATCGAGTCGATTTTGGTATCATTCGACGCAGCTCAACGAGGCGCATCGAACCATGAATAAATTTTAATTTTAAATTGAGTGAGGAATTTTTAAAAAATTTTATTTGAAAATTTTTTTGAATATTTTTTTCTAATTTTTCTGGTACAAATATTCTGATTTAGAATTGAAAAAGGAAAAGTTTTTTTGGAAATTTAGACTGGTTAAAAATAGGAAAAAAATAGAAAACCCCAAAAATAAGTCAAAAAATGACAAAATTATTAATTTTAAAAGGGGGCAATTTGCCCCAATTTTCTCCAAAATATAGGAGGTGTTTTGGTTTAATCAAGGCAGCCCTAAAAGGAAAAAGAATGAAAAAAAATTTTTATTTTTTATTAAATTAATTCCTTCAATTGAGGTTTGAAATTGCCTTAGTAGCTAGTTTAATTAATGTATTCGTTGTGATTTTACAGCCAAAACCCTCAAACTTCCATTTCATCAAGGGGAAGGCGACACCCCCAAAGGTTTCTAAGGCATAGTTGATTTCCTGTAAAATAGGATTTTATAAAATTAATTTTTGAAAATCTCCAAAAATTTCAAAAATTTTTGAAAATTTCGAGAAATTTCGAAAAAAAAATTTCAAAAAAAATTTTCAAGAAAAATTTTTTAATTTCAAAAAAAATTTTAAAAATTTCCAAAAAAATTTTCTGCTCTAAAAATTTTTTATCCTAATCAGAATTCTGATTTTGAAAAAAAAATTCTGATTTTCTCCAACACAATTCTGGTTTTTTTTATCAGAATTTCACACCCTATTCTGATTTTTTATGTCAAACCAGAATTTTTTCTGGATTTTCTGAAAATTCTAAAAATTCCAAATTCCCCTACCAAGTCTATTCCTTCATCAGGATCAAATTCAAAACTTTTTTCAAACTTTTCCTCCATCTTTGGAACATTTATTATTATTTTATTTTTATTATTCGACGTAGCTTGACGAGACGCGTCATTTTCTTTTTCAATTTTTTCTACAGGCTTTATCCCTTCTTCAGCCTCCTTTTCAGCTTCAGAAATTTTATCAGAATCTTTATTTTCTGTTTTTACTTCAACTGGTTTTACCTGAAATAAAATAATCAGAATTTTGATTTTTAAAAATAATTCTGATTTGAAAAATTCTGATTTTAATTCTGATTTTGAAAATTCTGATTTGAAAATTCTGATTTTAATTCTGATTTTGAAAATTCTGATTTAAAGAATTTTGATTAAAAAAATTCTGATTTTTCTTAATATGTTCTGTTTTTTAAATCAGAATTTCTAATCCACATCTGATTAATCAGAATTCTGGTTTTTAAAAAATTCTGGATTTTTTTTAATAATTCTGATTTTGAAAAATTCTGATTTTTTATCAGAATTTCAATCTCTATTCTGATTTTCCTTATCAACCCAGAATTTTTCTCTAGGGTTTTCTGATAATTCTGGTTACTTTACCTCTTCCTTTTCTTTTTTTACTTCCTTTTGTTCTGATGCTTCTTTTGCTTTTGTATCTTCCGTTTTTTCCTTTTCTGATTTTTCATTTATTTCCTTCTGATTTTCCTTTTCCTCCCCAAGATTTATTTCATTTTCCAAATTAAATCGGACCGTTCCTCGGGAACGTTTAGCCTCATTTTTGTTAGTTTCCTTTCGATGATTTTTGATATTCATTGATATTTTTGTTGTTATTCTTGGGGTTTGCTGATAATTATTCTTGTTTCTGCCTTCCATTGGGCGGGAACGTCCATTATATCCATGACCATAATGCTCATACTCCTCTGAATCCATTTCATTTGGGTCTTGTCCATTTGGTCCCTGACCATTTCGTCCATGACCGTTTGGTCTATAACCATTTGATCCATACTCATTTGACTCATACTCATATTGGTCATGCTCATTTGGGTCATATCGAAAATGTACACTATGTTTCCATTTAGGAGGGGCTCCATAGCCAATTTTTTGTTTGTGATAAAACTGTGGTGGGTGTTGATGTTTATAAGGATATTGCCCTTTGAAGGATGCTTTGAAGTGAGGTCCCTTCGATCCTCTCATAGGGTAACGATGATTTTTCTTGGGTGGATAATTATCAAAATGCGCAGTTGTCTCAACATTATATCCATATTCCTCTTCCTCCTCTTCTCCACTCACAAACCACGTTGCGTGAGATTTTGGAGGCTTTTTCTCTCTTATGGGTTCCAAAATTGCTTGGGCACTCTTAACTCTTCTACTCTCTTGTGCACCTCTCTTCCTTCGCAAATTAATGTTAACGATGTCAGTTTGTCTGTTACAAGACCCTTTTCCATCATCTACCGATCTGAGGATTATCTTTTGGCAATCGACTAGAAATTTATATTTTTAGTACATGTTCTGGGGCCAGAAACCTCACTTTTAGAGACCCCTTTTGGGGCTGAAAAATCGTAACCTTATAATAAGGGGTCTATTAAATGGAGGGTATCACTTGCCTTATAATGAGGGGTATATTAAATAGAGGGTATCGCTTAGGCACTTGTCTTATAATGAGGGGTATATTAAATAGAGGGTATCGCTTAGGCACTTGCCTTATAATGAGGGGTATATTAAATAGAGGGTATCGCTTAGGCACTTGCCTTATAATGAGGGGTCTATTAAATAGAGGGTATCGCTTAGGCTTATAATGAGGGGTGTATTAAATAGAGGGTATCGCTTAGGCACTTGTCTTATAATAAGGGGTATATTAAATAGAGGGTATCTAGGCACTTGCCTTATAATGAGGGGTATATTAAATAGAAGGTATCTAGGCACTTGCCTTATAATGAGGGGTATATTAAATAGAGGGTATCGCTTAGGCTTTAATGAGGGGTATATTAAATAGAAGGTATCGCTTTGGCTTATAATGAGGGGTATGTTAAATAGGAGGTATCGCTTAGGCACTTGCCTTATAATGAGAGGTATATTAAATAGAAGGTATGCTTAGGCAACTCCCCCATCCAATGGCCAATCAAATCTTATGGGAAGTCTCTTATATAGAGGTGTGTTTGAGGTATCTAAAAGCGAGGTTCTGCTTATCAATCATGTACCGTTTTTCGACTTTAACCAGTCTGCCAATGAAATATCGTTCAAAACAAAAACAATATCAACATATTTTAGACTAGCCAAGAATTTTTCTGATTCTTTAGTTGAAAGGAAATTTTTAGAAGCCGAATCCAATTGAATTGCTTAAAATTTTATTTTTGAGACATTTGATCCCAATTTATTTTAAAATTACCAAAAATTCGTCTTTGCTTTTTTGGGGTTTTTCCCGAAGCTTTCTCTGAATGCAATGCTAACAGAAAATCTTGTAAAAATTCGGCAAATGTGGCGCTAAAGTTTTGGAAACCGCCGGTTAGGTCCAAGATGAATCCATCATATTGTTGAGCGTATTTCTGAAAGAAATTTTGTTTAGAATTTTCTCTATTCGCTTTTAAAAATTCGGCATTTATACTATTGGCATTTTATTTATTGTGGCATTTTTAACAATGGGCATCTTGTCCCTGCACATTTTGTCCCTGGATATTTTGTCCGGAGGCGTTCTGTCCACGCCAATTTTGTCCCTGGATATTTTGTCCGGAGGCGTTCTGTCCCCGTCCATTTTGTCCCCGCCCATCTTGTCCCTGGACATTTTGTCCGGAGGTGTTCGTTCTGTCCCTGACCATTTTGTCCCTAGGCATTTATATTTTGGCGTCTATGGCATTTTTTAAATGTATTTATTCTACCTGTTTTTTAGTGATTGCCTCAATTAGATCAATCCTTGTTTGGACACCTTTACTCTGCTTCTTGCCTCGTATTTTGTTTGTTAAACCTGCATTTTTTATCTGTGCGTTGATCAAACCTTGGAGTTTTTCTGATTTTTCGTTCGAGAATTTTACAGACGAATAAATCTGTAAATTTATTTTTAAATAGATCCTTTTTTATTGGAGAGAGTCTTGCTATTAGAGAGTGCCTTTTAATCAGAGAGTGCCTTGCTATTAGAGAGTGCCTTTTAATTAGAGAGTGCCTTGCTATTAGAGAGTGCCTTTCAATTAGAGAGTGCCTTTCAATTAGAGAGTGCCTTGCTAATAGAAAGGGCCTTTCTATTAGAGAGTGCCTTACAATTAGAATTATAAATTAATAACATACATTTTTCAATCCACTTATCTCAACTTTATAATTTTCAACATAAATTTTTCCATCCTTTTCATTCAAATGTCCACTATCAACAATAATATCTGAACATTCCTTCGTTGCTTCTTGCGTCATTTCTGGACGAACCCCAGTTGAAGGTAGACTGCAGTAAATTTTTGGTGCAGAAACCCTCGGGCAAGTATTTTTACTTTGCTTTTGTTCAACTACAGTATTCTGCTCCTGTACTGCCTCTTCTTTATTTTGTTCCTCGATCGCCTCCTCTTTTATAGCCGAATCATTGCTATCATCTTCCGTTGATCCTTCACTTTCGTCCGGAGTTTCATCATCCTTCTTGTGGTCCATAGAAAAGGCACGTTTAGGTTGTTGTTGGATTGGGGATAATGAACGAGGCAGTGACATGCTTCCTGTTTAAAGGGAAAGAGGTAATGAGCGAGTAAAATTTTTGAATTGGTCATGGGGCTGTGTGAATGAGAGTTTTGTGCTTGTTCGATTTGGACTTAGTCTAATTGCTCAAGTTCCGAGAGCTCCAGGGTTTGAGGAAGGAGGTCCGGGATCCTGAGTCAAACTTAAGCGGAGGTCGGTACTATTATAAATCACCTGCTCTCTCTCGCTGTTTTCCTACTGCAGCCTTGCTAACATCAAGCTTCCCTAATAGATCCAAATCTTCTTGTGTCAAATTACTCGTTTTTGGAGCTGGGGGTTTTTCACTTTTAGTATTTATTTTTTCCATTAATCCAATTTCTTTATTGTTATCCTCCTCCTTCATGTCCTTCATGATTTCTATCGAATTTTTAACTAAAAATATTTGAAAAATTTAATATTAAGTAAACTTTCGTTATGAGGGAATGATTATATAGGAGAGATACACTTCCAAGATACCTTGTAAAATAGTCAAATGAGCACCTAAAATTATAAAATTTCGCATGCTTATCCTTAATACGTACATCTACATCTTCTGAAAATTTCAGAATTTTAGGACCAGAATTTCAGAAGTTATGGATGAAAAATCAGAAAAAATGGGAACTTTCATCAAAAATTCTGAGATTTCTGATCATAAATTCTGATTTACAAAACCAGAAATTCTGAAATTTTTAGAGAATCTAGATAACACTATTGGGGATATCTGAGCAAAATTTCATAGCTCTAGTAGCTTGTTTGACTTTTTTATGAGCTCGAAATCAATCGTTTCTTTAAGCAATCATTAAAGCCTCACCTTTACTTGAGTCAATCTTTTTCTCTTTATTTTTGTTTTTCTTTTGTTTTTTGAGTTGTTTTTTGTTGCTTTTATCATTAGTTCCTTCCTCTAATTCTTCCGGAGGTTTTAAGGTCTCGGATTCTTTAATTTTATCTTTTTCAGTATTTTTAGGATGCGATTCTTTAATTAATAAAACTCTAATTTATTTTATTTAATAAATATCAGTAGAGGCAGACCTCACAGAAAGATACCCCCAACACCTCACTTTCAGATACTCTCATTACCTCACTATAGGATATCCCTCTATGCTAGATCACCTCTATATAAGATAAGGTATTTAAAAATTTGATTGGATACTTGTTACCCTCTACATTATACCCTCTATTTAAATTACACCTCATCATAAAAAACTATTTTTCCTGTCCTAAGGGGTACTTATAATAAGGTCCGAGTGTATATGGTGCATTACGAACCTTTCTTGGTTGCCTTTTTCTTCTTAGCATTAATCTCATTAAAGCAGAACAATGCAACAAATGCTACAACAATCAAAAATTTTACATGCATTTTTGCATTCCCACTCTTTCACAGAATTTTTTTTATTTTATTAAATTATTCAAGGCTTCGTTACCTGAAAAGCTTTTTTTTATAATTTTTTAATCCCTTTTAGTTATTCCAATCTCTAATATATCCTATAATAGGTAAGGATAAGACAGAGATTGTATTGTCAGTAAAAATCCCTCGGATATCCCACATTCCCAGATATCACAATAAATCACTCAATCTCTCAATTATCCCCCCCCCCTCCCTGAATTTTTGGAGGGTTGTAAATAATTTTAATACATAGGGGTTTAGTGGAGGTATTTTTAGAGCTAATAAGGAGATACTTAAATCTTTCTCAGCTATCCCAGGGTATTCTCCAACTTATATGTAATCTTCAAGATATCCCACTTTGCCAAATATCACAGGATATCACTTACTCTTTCAATTACCCCCCCCCCCCCTTCCCCTTGAATTTTTGAAGGGCGTAAATTATTTTAATAAATGGGGGTTTAATAGAGGTATTTTAGGGATAATTAGGAGATACTTAAACTTAAAAAAAAATATTGGAATATTTGAAAATCGAGAGTGGGCTATAGGAATTTAAAAAATTTATTAAAATTTTTTTTAATTTTTAATTATAATCCTTTTAATTAATCGCCCACCCAAAGAGAATTCAATTAAAAAATTACTCAAATTTTAACCGGATTTGCCCTAATCGGATTTAATTATTAAAAAGGACAATAAATAAAGTGCTATTCAAGGAGCTTTGCGCACTCTTTTTATAAGACATTGTGTCTATTAAAATTTATTTTTAAATTTTAATTTAAACAAGTCTAGCAAAAAAAACTCGTGAGAGGAGGGGAATATGTCTAAAAAATAAATAAAAGGGCAAACTCGTGAAAGGAGAGGGGAAAATAAATTTTTTGGCGAGAATCCATTGAGTAGACCCATTATATCGAAAATTGTTAGGGAAAGGGCATTAAATAAATTTATACTTTTAAAGTAAACAACGGAAGGATCGAGTACTCGATTGAGTTTTTGACAGAGACGGTTCCTGGCCGGTCTAATTCTGGAATGGTGTTTTCCAATCTCCGGACTTGACAGGTGACTCCTACGACCAGTCTCTAGTCTGAATACTTATATAAGATACCTGAAAGAAATTTTTTTCAATTTTCAG